TTGTAGAGCTGATGGAACTGACCTGGACCTACACCAGCAGTCCACGCTGCCCCAAGGCCGTGAAAGCCACTTGATGGTACGGGGACGTTCACCTGTTTGCAAAGCTTGCCAAAATGGAGTTTGTTTCTTTCACCTTTCTACTTCATTCCTGACGTATTGTTAAAGAGGGGCGTACGCAGGATTGGGAGGGGGAGGGATGCAACTAAAAATGGAAGCCAAGTCAAGAGCACCGCAGGTGCGCGTAACTTTTTGTGTGTCGTAAAACAGCATCGCATGTTTTCCATCTTTTTGTCGGTACGTGGCTGCCTGAAATTCTTAGCTGCCAACATTTAGTCTCATGCGCATTAATACATGGCATAATTTGGTAAGGGGGAGACACAGGAGGGCACTCTTGTTACGGGCGCAAGGCCTTTTCTGCTTACATCAATTTAAAATTAACGTTTAGGCGTTGGTCACGCTATGCATTAAAGGGAATGTCCACGTTTGAAGATATTGATACAAGCACATATATAATGACGTAAACTCAGGTATAATTGGTATTTCTTTTGTGGATTGTTTTGCGGAAATTGGCATGTGATTGACACACTTTTAAGTGGAAAAACTGCGTTACACAATGCAATTTCTCTATTAAGTAAATGCGCTCCTCAATTCGTTATTTTTTATTGCGTCATCGCACCTTGCACAACAATGATTGAGGGCCAACTAACGGTCGTTATACCTGAAAATTGCTCTCACGAACGCCAGATATGAAGAGCTCAACAACAATTATATTTTTCCTTGCTTTGATCGACGCATGAATAGCAGGATTTGAATGACATTCTTTTCGTGTTGTAGATGCCTGGATGGCCTTGAAATAGTCTGCCCGAAATAGTCTGGACATCTTTGCGTGCGCGTAGCTCAGAAACTGTGGAGACTTAGGTCTTAAGAATGGCAGGGCTGTGAAATGCACCGAATTATCTTCAAGATTGCTATTTCAGTTCAATACCCCATACAAATGTGAAATGCTCCTTTTACGAAAGTCATTTTGGTGACCCGTTCGGTCACCAGCCTTTACCTGCTTTGTCCTTCCAGTTACCAACATGTCTGCTGAGGTCGCAGAAGTTCAGTTTCACTTTTTATATGTAGGTACTTTCTGATAGTGCACATTATAACTTTTCCGTGGCCTTTCCTCGGGAAATATATCATTTGAATACCCTTCTATAGTCTGCACGTGTCTGCAAACAACGGCAACATTCTGTTCAAACACAAACGTTCTGCAAACAATCGCCCTTTTGGGATCCGAACCATACTCCATAAACAATAGATGAGACCTTTTTTTCTGATGATCACATCAAGCCGTCTTACTAAGATGTTTTCTTTGAAATGCACCCACTTGTTAGCTCCTCACAAAGCTGCAGTCGCACATGGTCTTGAAATAGGAGGTTATTCTTCCTTTAAGCAATTTTTTATTGGTCGGTTTCTCCGATCAAAATCTTTCCTCATTGACATCGGGAACGCTAATCTAAATCGTCCAAGCTTGAGGAGCAATCAGGTTTTGGTGACAGATCAGCTCAACCTAATCTGCTGTTCACCCCAATCGACTTAAAAAATGACACCCACCCCAACATTAAAAAGCCAGGAAAAGGGGTCGGAGAAGACTTAAAAATTTGGATGTTTTTGGAAAGGTCACTACATCTGTGTTTGGAAACCAATTTCCATGAGCCAAACACAGTCCAACTTGGAATGTACGAATCTTTCTTATATTTCAAGCTCAAAACCGACGTCAAATTTTAGGCGATTCCAGGGTGGGGATCATCGGTGTTTTGAGGTTACTAAAATTGTGACGTTTTCCCTCATTTCTCATGATATTTATATCATATATATATATATATATATATATATATATATATATATATATATATATACACATATATATATATATATATATATATATACATATATATATATATATATATATATATATATATATATATATATATATATATATATATACCTTACAGCCTACTTGTGGTGTTATATAGAGATGCGGGCTGGTTCCATGTAAACTATATGAAGCAGACACCATTAGGTTCAATTTTCTTTGCCTATATATAATCGTACTTTCAACCAGTGGATTCAGCTCGTGAAAACATCTCTAAAGCACCACCATGGTGCAGCCAGACGTGGCTGTTTCACAACATGAGTGTCGAGTTATTTTGCCAACAACACCGATTACGTCACTCACATGTGATCTGTACCTAGCCATCTGCTCGGAATATGTGGCTGCCAAGTTGAGTTGGCCGTTGCCAGACACCATAACGCAGAAAGCCACGACCTCCCGCGGCAACCTCGTCCCTCTGTAAAGCATTCATCCTCTGTGGAGGTGCGAGAGTGCGATTCAGCGGTGACGTCACGGGTGCGGCTGCGTCACAGGACGAATGTCACTGCAACTGCGACTGCAGCTGACTGCCGGGGCCTGGGCTTCCCAGCGCGGCGTCGGCTGGCTTCCCAGCTGGGCCTCGGGGGACCCGCGTCCTCCGTCCCGGCGGACGTTGCCGTATGTGATTGGGCCGGACCGACGCAGGCAACGGCGAGCAGCACGACACGTACAGCGCCCGGAATCGGGCGACAGCGTAATGGCTCTCGTGCGCTGCGCCTGCAGTGCAACGCTGCACCCATCTGATGGTCATGGCTGCACTGCTGTGTCGACGTAACTGTCCAGTCGGTGACAGCGAGTCGCATTCGTGCTCAGCAGTCCCCTTTGTAGTCAGAAAAATACACCATGATCGCGAAGACGCTCGCTCGTATAATCTGCTCGCTCAATCATTCACCCGAGCAAGGAGTCAATGAGCATTGCGCTGTCGGCTGTCACGCGTGGAAACCGTGAAACGGCGGGTCGGGTCGCGTTGGATGCGCTCGGCTCGGATCAAATCGGATCGAATCGAATCGATTCCAGTTGAATCGAATAGAATCTGGTGGGATCAGATCACATCACATGACATCAAATCACATTGCATCACATCACATCGCATCACATCACATCACATCACATCACATCACATCACATCACATATCATATCACACCACGCCACACCACACCACACCACACCGCACCGCACCGCACCGCACCGCACCGCACTGCACCGCACCACACCACGCCGCAACGCACCGCACCGCACCGCACTGCATCACATCAGATCACATCATATCACATCATATACATCATATCACATCACATCACGTCACGTCACGTCACGTCACGTCGTATCACATCATATCATATCATATATCATATCGCATCGCATTGCATTGCATCGCATCGCATCACATCGCATCGCATCGCTGGGCTGGGCCCGAATCGAATCGAATCGAATCGAATCAGATCAGATCGGATCGGGTCGGGTCGGATCGGATCGGATCGGATCGGATCGGATCGGATCGGATCGGATCGGATCGGATCGGATCGGATCGGATCGAATCGAATCGGATCGGATCGGATCGGATCGGGTCGGGTCAGGTCGGGTCGGGTCTGGTCGTATCGGACCGGATGGGATGGGATCGTGACAAGCCTCCGGATGTCCAGCCGCTACCGCCTCGCAGCGGGTACTAGTGGCGTCCGCGAGCCCTGGTGATTCCGTGCGGTATTAAGTAACCCAGTGACGCACAGTATAAGTTATTTTCAGCCAGAAAATGTTTTCCTGTCACATTCCTGTGATTTCTGCCCAGGCAAGATCACTAGCTGTCAGCTTAAGGTAGACTGCGGTCGTATGATGAAGCGTTGCTCTTACAACCTTCAAGGATTGCTTGTAAAGGGATGGGTTGGGGTGGGGTCTGAACAATTCTTTTGGAGACGCCTAATTTTAGCCCTGAACGGCTGTCTTCGTCTTCTGTCTGGTGGCCTGTGTTTCCTCCTTTTTGCGCAACATATACTTACTGTTTAAGTTCATTTCATTTTGGAGCTAAACATTCAAACGGCACCAAATGCATGTGGACGTTTCCTTGGCGTCTTGGGCGTCATTAAGTTCCGAAATATTTTGCACAGGCACTCGCGGCCGTTCCTAACAGGCGGCCTAAATAACAACGAGTCAGGAGCGCCGTCAACCACCGAAGCATGCAAACACGGTGCTCTGGGTTTCTGACTGGCCTGGCTTTCCGGACGTGGTCTGAATTGGCGCCGCTGTTTTAGGCGCGGATCGGTTCGTGGGGGTCCCGCCGGAGCGTCCGCAGCCACCATCCGAGCAAAGCCTGACCTGGCGCCGCTGTTTCAGGCGCGGATCGGGTCGTGGACGTCCCACCAGAGCATCCGCAGCCACCATCCGAGCGAAGTCTGACCTGGCACCGCTGTTTCAGGCGCGGATCGGGTCGTGGGGGTCCCGCCGGAGCGTCCGCAGCCACCATCCGAGCCAAGTGTGACCTGGCACCGCTGTTTCAGGCGCGGATCGGGTCGTGGGGGTCCCGCCGGAGCGTCCGCAGCCACCACCCAAGCCTCGCCGAGGACACGGACTCAGAGATCGGCCAGCTGAGGATTGACGAAGACTCCGATATGCCTCCTCGGGGGATGGGATCCTTGTATCGGATCAGGAAGGCAAGTCAAGTGGTGAAGAAGCTAATGAAAGGCTAGTAATGTATGTACACCTGGGTGCCTGCGATCCGTTCCTGTGGTAGGTATTCCTATTGAAAACAGTAGGCTCCTACAAACATAGGACATGGACAACCCCTGCTTGGAGTGTCGCTAAACGGAGCTGTTTGACGCATTTGATGCATAATCCCAACAAGACATTCGCTTTATGCGCCTATGCCCTTGCTACCAGGAATCGCAGTTACCAAGAATAACAGCTGTAAGCACTTTTTAAAGAAGCGAATTGGCTGTATGTTGACTGGGCGAGATAATGCAGCCCTTGGCGGCGCGTTGCTTGCCCGTCACCTGCTCTGTGTCGGCCCCAGCTGATACAGTCATGGACCACAGCCCTTGGCGGCGCGTTGCTTGCCCGTCACCTGCTCTGTGTCGGCCCCAGCTGATACAGTCATGGACCAAGCGTCGCTCGGAACAGTCGGAGGACGAGCGGCCCGATTCCTTCCTCGAGAAATTCACCATGGCTGGCGGCGGCACCTCCGACCTGCAATCTGATGCGGACGCGACCACCTTCTGCTGCGGCATCTCCTCCACCTTCTTCGTCGTCAACAAGGCCAAGCCCTTCCACTACCGGGTAAGCCTAGCCGACATACGGTGGAGCTGGGCTCTAAGAATGATAGTAAGGCTTTGGGTGGTTTTACGACACGCTCATCTTCCTTGACTCCGTTCCCGCTGATTGAGGCGTGTGACGAAAAAATATCAGGCAGACAGGTTGGAACCACGACTCAGCGCATGGTCAGGCAAAGGCTCTACCACTGCTGCGCAACGATACTCTGTAGCTGCTGAAATGACATAAAGCTCAAATAGCCGGGGGCAGTATAAGTGTTGGTGGATAGATCAGTCCGTGGTTTTTGTGGAATGAGCTGAATAATGTTAGAATGATCAGAGCTTAAAATATTGGTTTTTGCCATTTATCAATGGATTCAGGTGAACAGAATCTGTGTGGCGAGTTGTAATATCACGAATCGATAATACAAAATGAAGCTAACTTTGGGTGAATATATTCTCAGGACATTTAGATACATCAGGAACATAAAAAACATTTCGATGAAATGACCTCATTGCTGGCCTTAGTGTACTTTGCAACTTTATCTGACGACGGTCGTCCAGAGGCTACATATGCCTGGGGGGGGGACCTTTTGTGCGGAGTTCGGGCACCGTAGTTACACAGGCCTCTTGCATCTTTGAAGACTTCACTAACGGCCTTTTCATCCGTTGCTTGGGCATTCGCTCCGACTCGCCTTCCCTCCCATCCTTATGCATATCTTGCTTCATCGCATCCAATAGGTCTCCACTGGGCCGTTTGTGAGGTGCGTTGGGCGGTTCTCATCTCGCGGCAGGTAAGAAATATGCGGATCGTCCAAAACCCGTGCAGTGCTTCGGACATAATGGGACAGTGTCAGATCTGGCCAAAACAGAAACATGTCATCCTGGTGAGATATTGGAATGAATGACATTAAAACTTTCGTTATACACTCCTGATTATTTCCATTTTTCGCCGCTACGAGGCTGGGGACGGCATTACCATAAATTCTGCTCAAAATTTGGATTCATAATGAAGCTCAACATTCTTTATTGTCCTCAAGTTGTACGAAATACTGTACCCAAGATTTCCACTTGCTTTGGAATGTTCAAAAGTAAAGAAGCTTTTCAACCAATATGATCTCGACATTCTCTGGTAGCTTTTGAAAAATATATTTCAGCTTATTTTTGTGAGATTTGGCTCGCATGTCTTGACTTTGATTGCTAGGAGGAAATTTCTTTTGAAAAAATCCCCTCACCCTTTGATGATTTCAATAACATAGTGCTGACGGTCTCATATTTTCTGGCCAACTTGCGAATGTTGACTTCCACCTTGCTCACTATATACTAGACAAGCGTCCGCCGCTCGCCAGGGGCTATCCGCACGGGAGCGCGACCGCCGCCAGCCTTTGGCAGCGCGGCCGAAATCAGCGCGGTTTTGTGCTGCCTCGATAATCCATATCACTAAGTATGCGATAAATTTCCGCCGAAACTGTCAAACTCCTTCTCCTCACTCACGTTTCCGCGGCGTGGAAAACAATGCATGCTTTTGCCATACTCCTGAGTTGTTCGTAAGCGAACCCAATGTGCGTCATCATGCCTGCCCCTTTGAGCCCCTTCATGACTAATAGATGAAAAGGAAGTGTAATAAATGGCACAAGTAGACACGAAGTATTTGCGGCACTTCCACTGATGTACAGTTCAGCTGACACCCATTCATTCGCCGAAAACACACACACAACACACACACACACACACACACACACACACACACACACACACACACACACACACACACACACACACACACACACACACACACACACACACACACACACACACACACACACACACACACACACACACACACACACACACACACACACACACACACACACACACACACACACACACACACACACACACACACACACACACACACACACACACACACACACACACACACACACACACACACACACACACACACACACACACACACACACACACCACACACACACACACACACACACACACACACACACACACACACACACACACACACACACACACACACACACACACACACACACACACACACACACACACACACACAGACTCGTTCAGCACTCACCGATAAGGTGGAGTAATGATCCGGTTCTCATCAGTGGTATACCCACTCGAAGGCGGTTCCAGCCAGTTACTTCTCCGGCCGTCTTCAGATGTCAGCTGGCCGTGATGAGGTTCGGAAGATACTGCTTAGCGTCTAACCATACATGTATCACGCTCCGGACAGTCTTCCAACGCCCCGACCATCCACTCCACGATATTAAAATTCGTTGACCGAGCTTATGCCCCTGCGGGGAGGACATCATGTGGTGCGTTAGAATTCCCTTCGTTGTCTAGGATTTTTGTGTAGTTCCCTTGTATGAGTAGCCATTTTGGGCTGATGGTTGTGCTAGGTTGGTTAATAGAGTTTGAACTTAGCACCAACTGTGCGGGTGCCTTGATCTTGATTTTTCAACGCGGCAACCTGTCGATCATGATTATTTCGTCCCATGTTGGCCGGTGTTCTTTCGACCACAAACATTCCGCTGCGCTTGACACGTGCTTGCTGACCGACTGTGCTAACATGACTGTGCTTCCATATGATGGCCGGATAGTCTCCGACTGCCAGATGATAGCATAGCCATGCGCTAGACATCCCTGAGGGTCTTACCGTGGCCGACGAACAGCTGACGACGGCCGGGGCATCCTGGACGAAATGTTATGAGAACAATAACGCGATTTACGAGATTCAACGACGCAAACTCTTAGTCCCCTGGCATCACATTATTGATTGCCATTTAAAAACGCTGACAGCTTCAAAACCCGACTTTCTTAACTACATCAGTATTTCATCACCGCATGCTCTTGAAGGCCAATAAAGTGACCTTAGCTTAATGGAAACTCCCATAGAAGTCAACGGGTCGGCCAGAAAGAAAGGTTTCGCAAGTGCATGGCATGACCTTTACATTTCTAGTGCATATTTGATACCATTGTACTTTCTGTGTCAGGGACCAAGACAGAACACCTTGACTTTTCACCAATATTTATAGCAGCAAACGCAAGCAAAAGTTAAAGTTCCGAACTGTTCGGCGCGGTTTATGGCTGGTTTTGACAGCGAATAGTTTATATTTTAACTCTGATTAAATCAACTCTTCGTTATCACGACCGTATTTTGAAAATCCAGAAAATGTATTTGCAAAAAAAATCAGACAACGTTTCAGCAGCATGGGGTGGGAGAATAAACAATAATAGCAATGAGCCTGTGACGAAGCACATCACAATTTTGAAATTAGCGTTACTCGTTCAATGTGTATTTCCAAAAGCTCCATTTTCTGGCGAGTTCCATGGCTACCGAATGCACGTGGTATGCTTTGAGTCTGTAACGTCAGCGTAATATTTTAAAACATAACGCTAGTAAATGATAGTTCCAAACGTATCTGTTTACAGACACTATCAAACTGCGTTCATCGTAGACTGATCTTGCACAAAGACATTGAGTTTCAATGACGTCCATCACAAAATTGGTCTGCTTGTGTTGGTTTTCATCATTTAAGTCACACACATTTCCGAAACAAAGATAATGTTAAGGGTGCTTAAGTTGGAAGCCTCTGAGTTCCCGAATGCTGCATATTGATGTTTGTCTCCAGGCAAGTATATTTCAATGTTTTTTTCACCGAATCCTTTCTGCTTTGGCGAAAACACGCCAGGAAAAATTGAATGGAATGTTCCACATTGGAAGATATGGAGCCAAGCGTCATACATGATGAAGTTAAAAATGCTTTAAACAACACAATTTTATTATTTGGTAAAATTTCGTTCAATACGTCGTCGTCTCGTTACGTCACGGAACGTCTTTACAACATTGGAGTGACTGCCAGACTGGCCTGGTCAGTATTGCCACTGTAGCGGACGGGCTGACTCACTTGTAGTACTTATACTCGCCGAAAGGTGGCGATGTGTCGCTGGAGCGTGTTTGCAAAACCGATTATCTTCATGCGCTTGTGTCTTGGCCCCTTCTCGTGGTGTTCCTGCATATTTGTCCCTGGTTTTATATTGTTAACTTGCATTCACATCCTCGATTGTGACGATATTCTTAAGTTTTTCTATTCCCACTCTTATTACCGCTATAACACCGCTGTTAAACTGCCTGTATTATGTGGCATAAAGCATGATTATTGTTCGAACCTTAGAATGAACGTGTTACATCATTTGAAAGCCGTTTGAGATCCGTTGGTGCCAAAAGTTGTGCTGACGCACGCCAGATAAGAATAAATCGATGATCATATTTTTCTTGCCCTTCAGCATCACTTACAAATGCTGCCAATAAGGCGGCAACATTTGTGTGGCAGCATTTGCTTTTATGACATCATGCATGCCTGACTGACCTTGAAATAGCCCGCACAAAATAACCTGCACAGGTTTGCGAGCGTCTTGCTCAGAAACCGGAAAACCGGAGGGTTTAAGCCTTGAAAGAGGCAGGGCTGTGGGCTCCGCTAAATGATGTTTAAAATGGCTGTTTTAATCAAAATCGCATACAAATTTGAAGCACCGCCTTTAACAATATTCGTATGCACATAGCCAGGGTTGATGCATGTTTTGTGTGTTTTAGTGTTTAAGGCATGTTCCATTATCCTTAGTTCACGTCGCATACGTCCCAAGTATCTTCAAGTGACGAAAAAAGTACTCCCTCCGTTGACGGCTGTAGAGCATACACTCGCGCGGTGAACGTTAAGGTATTTTCCGACGTTACAGTCTCCAGTGAAAGTGCATCTGCTGCTGGCGTATGCCACCACTCATGTTATAATATCCTCTCATTTTAGGGCCCATGGCACGAGAGTGTATATTTTCACAGATGCCCAGCCTTGGCAAACCGAGGTAGGATCATACTTAAAGCAACCCCGTTGGTGTCTCAGCTAAGTTGATGAAACTGCACGGAAATGATAAAAAACTGTAATGCTCCATAACATACATTTCGCTTGATCATATTTGAGCACATGTAGCAAT